TTTGTATAAAATAAAAGTACACTTCATTGGCAAACCGAGTGCCAGAGTGTGTGTGAGAGCTGACGGAAAAAACACTTGAAAACAGTGTTTAGAATAATTTATTATCGAAATTCTGTATAAAAATTGTTTTCAAGAATTTGGCTCAAAAATAGTGTTACAGTGGTTGTAGTGGCGCTCCGTTTGTGTAATACTCGGCAAACTTTTTGTGATTTTCATCGCAAAACTGTAACGACTTTTGGGTATTGAGTTGGCGGAAGAGATTCGTTATTTTCGGTTCACGTAATTATGCTTTCAGTTAAAAAGCATTTAATATGTTATTGACAATGAAGTGAAGAGATAAAATAAAAACTATTGATTAATAATTAAGTTTCTGTTTTAAGCAGATATGTTCACCTTGTTCACGATGCTCTCGAAAATATCCATCAGTTTCTCATTGAACACTATTTAACCCAAATTCATATCAATGTTTTCGCACTGCTATTCACACATTCATTCATTCTGTGATAATAATCAATAATACTGTTATCAACTGTTATAGAAAATTATTATATATTTTAGGTGACCATCGATTTGAATCGATTGATATCATTGGGAGAAAAACAATTTATTGATTTATCATAAAAACTTAATCTCTAACTCAAGTGACAACTACTCCATAAAAATGAATGCAAAGTCGAAAAGAACTGCTTTCCTATTGAAAACACTGTTAATACTTCACTTAATACTGTTCCCCAGCGTGTCATCCGTGGTGTTGAAGAAGATTACGAGAAATCTGTTGCCATCGCATTACAACCACACCTCCAAAAAGATACAGATCGCTGTGTTAGGGCCGGGCGATGACGACTCGCCCTACTCTTTGAATAAGATATTGCCGTCGATTCTGTTGGCCATTCGCACCATCGAAGACGACTCCCGGTCGGGTCGACTCAAATGGTTGGGCGGTTGGGAACACGGAGTGGAACTCCTATACCGCGACACTCAGTGCTCGTCGACGTTGGGACCGTTGGCGGCGTTTGACTTCTACACGACATCCCGGGCTGACGTATTTCTGGGCCCATTGTGTCCCTACGTGTTGGCGCCGGTGTCGCGGTATTCGTCCATTTGGGAGATACCGATCCTGACGACCGGCGGGCAGGAGGAGGGGTTTGACCACAAAGAACCGCATTACCGGTCACTCACTCGCATGAATGGGTCCTTCCAACAGGTCGGCCTCATCTTTGTTCAGGTATTCATGCTTTCAATTACTGTTTTCAATCACTTTCCTGATCTCCGATTCCGATCGTTGGGTCCATTTTCAGTCAATTAATTTTGTTGTCAACAATTATACCCTCATTTAGTCAGTGATTCATAAAATGATAAAATGTTTTCAAATTCTGTCAATAGTATTCTCTGGCTATTGTTAGGCAATCCATTCTCTCACTCTTTCGCATGAATAGCAATGCAATCTTTTTTTCATTAATTGATTTATGAATATTTAAATTCATTAATCTTTCTCTCGTATTGCATATCATTTACATAATAATAGTAATGAAAGAGAATATTCTGTTGTAAATGAATCCCTTTTGCACATCACATAGAGTTGTGCAGACAATAACCGACTGAAATATTTAGTAATTTCGTCGAGTGTTTTATATAATATTAATATTATAACAAACATTAGCTTTTTCTCACATTTGCATCACATTTATGCAAAGGATTCGCAGATTATGTGCGAAAGTAAAGACAGTTTTCTCTCACTTTGAAAATTAGTTTTTCTAATCAAAACCAAAAGTGTGTTTATTTTAATGATTTTAATTATACGGCTAAAGATTACAAACACACGACACAAACGAGACTAGGCTTTAGAAATGAGAAAACATTCATAAAATTGAGTTATAGTTTGAGGCAAACAATTAGTAAAGAAAACAATTTGTTTAAAAAAGTGGAGCAGAAATGGATTCGCATTTTAAATGAAATGACAGACACCGACGACAACAAGTTGTATGAAAGCTTGAAATATTGCGAAAAGTTTGATATACAGTATAAAAATCCGTCAAAGAATTTGAAAGACGTTTTTCAGCTGAGACTTATACACAGAATCATTTAAAATAACTATTCATTCAAATTGACTCCAATTTAATGAATAGGAGTTTACGTTAAGAATTCAAGAATTTTGTATAAATTTATAAATAGCGTAAATACAAATTGAATACTTTTTTGAAGTCTTATTTTTTCAATACTTTATTTTTCGGCTTATTTCAGTCAATAACATTTTGAGATAAATAACATTCGCTTTAAAATTGTTGAAAGTAAACATATGATGGTAGCTTGTTATTATAATTAGCTCGTTATTTAAGAGTACACACAATATTTTATATAATACAGTATATCGATTTGTCAAACAAAATTCAACTTAAATAATTAAATTTTTAATCAATAACTCCATTTGATTTTCAAATGCATATCACTTCAAATGATTAGATTTTTATTTACGCTTAGTTAATATTAATTTTCTAATTTATCCTAATATAGTTGGTATACTATCATAGATAGAGTTTTTGATTAAGTTTTCTTTAATTATTAAGCGATTGTTGTTATAATAAAATAAATAATTTATAGTATGCTTTGTGCCAAAAATCAAAGGGATATTTATTTCCGAAAATAGCACACAACTGAAAATGATGTACTATTTTCAACATAATATATACGGTAATTGAATCATATTTGTATTGAATGTCAGCGTTTGAATCGTTTAAAAAGTGTAAGAAATTGTTTGAATCATTTGCTTTTCAATTGAAAACGGCTATGAAATTACTGACAGTAAGTATGGCATAGAATTGACAAGAATTTTCTCAGAATTAAATATCTTTTCGTCAAACTGTTTATGTGTTGACTATTTTTATATTTGACTATCATTTCTGAAATGTTAGCAAAATATATCACTATTTGCGTGTAAAATGAAATTAAAGTCGATTTTCCCGAAACTGATTCTTTACATAAGGAGTGATACTTTACTTTTTATTTTCGGATTCAATTGAAAAGATTTTGACTTTTGTGTCACATTTTTAAGTGCGTTCACAATGGGGTTGTGTTTGCTTTGCATTCTCACTCATTAAAAAATAGACAAATGTTTGTATACTTAAAAATCTCAAATGTATACTAGATTCAATAGAATATTTGATGCCATTGTAGAAAACTAAATTTAAAAATAATTAAAATAGCACACAACTGAAAATGATGTACTATTTTCAACATAATATATACGGTAATTGAATCATATTTGTATTGAATGTCAGCGTTTGAATCGTTTAAAAAGTGTAAGAAATTGTTTGAATCATTTGGTTTTCAATTGAAAACGGCTATAAAATTATTGACAGTAAGTATGGCATAGAATTGACAAGAATTTTCTAAGAATTAAATATCTTTTCGTCAAACTGTTTATGTGTTGACTATATTTGACTATCATTTTTGAAATGTTAGCAAAATATATCACTATTTGCGTGTAAAATGAAATTAAAGTCGATTTTCCCGAAACTGATTCTTTACATAAGGAGTGATACTTTACTTTTTATTTTTGGATTCAATTGAAAAGATTTTGACTTTTATGTCACATTTTTAAGTGCGTTCACAATGGGAAACACAAACGAAACGTAAGAGTGAGTAATTTTTTATCTGTTTACAAACATATGAATTTTTAGAGTTTACATATGATCTAAGTTATCTTATAAACTACGGTAACATCTTTTGATTTAAATTTTTATTATTTCCTCTGAAACTACAAGATAACTTACTGTAAACATAAAGACAATTGACTGTAAAATTGGTTGCAAAACACGAAAACATTTATTCATTTAGAGAAAATATTTGTCCAAAATATAATCAAGTGAAGTGCTTTGAAGTAAATGATAATTTGTATATTAAAAAGTTTATCAATTATACCGAACGAGTCTATAGACTATAATCCCAAATGTAAACATTGAATAAATGAGAGCCGGGTATACGTGTGTTATATAATAGATTTGAGTCCATGTGTTCAATTCAACACTATCTCTGCAATACACTAGACGTCTGTATAATGAGATTGAGATCACTATCCGAGTGGTCACTAATATATTCAATTCCAGTACAAAGACTACCATTACTTACAATAGACTTCACGACAAATGATATCGTGTTTTGTACGGTCACTAAGACATCCAAAAACCTATTCTTTACTTTTTTGATTGGAGATAATCCTCAATACGATTATGGCTTATGGATTATTTTGCTTTAATTATGCAACAAAATACCTAGTAAATTAATTGAAATTTTATTTTACTTTTTCGACAAATAATTAGAAACATAATTATTTCTTACAACAAAAACTGCATGCTGAATATATTTGATTATTAGTATTGTAATAATTGTAATTTAGTTTAAATATAGTTTTCAAAAGACTTTATTGACTAAAGAGAGTATGAATTAAAGTTTTTAAAAATGTTTATCTCATTCATAAGCAATACAATAAATACAGCGTTTCTATTGATCGGAGTCATTTTAATTAAAAATATTCCACTCAAATCATACACACCATTGATAAGCAAAACAAACTTTACGTAAATTATTTACTTAAAGAAATTTATATTTATTTGTATTTATGCTTTTTACGCTAAATTAAATATATATACATTATATAATATGTATGTATTCATTTTGACATACATAAACTTATCGACAACGTCGCCAAGGTCACCCTTCACCATCGGGACCACAAAGTGCTGATGCTACTGGCCAGGTCTCCGGTGAGGTTGACGAAGAAGTGCAATTCGCGGCAGATGACGACTTTGGGCCGCAAAACCAATTTCCACACCTCTTTCGATGAGACGAAGACTGATAACAATTATAGCGAACTGTTGACAAGAATATCAAAAAAGGCCAGAAGTATGTCATAAATTATATTTGTATACTACTATTGCTATCATTGCTATCATTTGTAACATCATTTCCCGTGAATTATGTGTGACTTTGGCGCAGAATATTCTGTTTCCCCTCAAAATTAAATAACAATGAATTTCTTGGAAATAAATGAATGCAAATCATAATAAGACTAAATGTGTAATGCGTTCACACTTTACTTCTTTACAAATTTGCAAAATATATCTATTTTTAAATTACGTGAACTGTATTTCCTGCGATTTGTGCCATAATTTATTATATTTTTATTTAAATGACTGCTAATAATATAAATATTTATTACAACAACAGAGAGTGTGTGCTTATAATTGCTTTTCTTATTAATGCGATCGTATAATACAATAACACATTTGCAACACAAGTATTGAATTTATAATTAAATATAACAAACAGAATATTCTATAGAAAATCTTTTACTTTTTAAAGCCTTTAACTTTTTTGTCATCACAAGTACGTCATGATAGGCTCGGATGCGAGGCTAATAATAGGTCTTTGCTATGAAATTGGTATAAAATAGTTAGGAATGGTAGGGTATGGTAGGGAATGGTATGGCATGAATAGGTTAAAGTGCTCGCCCAGGGCTTAGTGCAGTCACTTGCAAATGCTATCAATCATTCAAACTATCATTTATTCTATAATTCCTATTGAGTTAATGCAACCCTTATATCATTAAAGCCATGACCGCATGTAGACTATTGTCGACAATAACCAACTATAAGAATATAAATCATAATCATAATCAACGAGCAAACAATATTTTTAGCTTTGTTTTCATCTAATCATTTATTTATGCTGTTATTTCCTATAAAAACATCTCTTTTATTATTGATTGAATTACTTATGCATTTCATTATTATAATAATTTGTTTTTATATTCAATTTTCATTCATCGTGATCATTCAAGTGACAAATTATGTTTATAATACTTTTAATATTGTACAATATTTTACAGTATTTTAAATACTTTATTTATAGTAAACATTTGAATTATTCAGGGATTCAAAAAGAATTAGAATTTAAAATTTATTAATCAAAATATCATATCTACAGTGACTTTAATAATTGAATTGTTATTTAGCGTATGTGATAGGAGTTGCCATGTTTTGTGTTGCAATGAGTGGCACACATTGAATACAACTCAACACAACAAAGGCTCATTAATAATAATTAAAATGTAAATAAATTTAGTCATAATTACTCTCATAATAAGAGACTCAAGTAGTGTTAAGTCGAAAATCTTGTAACTGTTGTGTTGTTTTCAAAAAATCTGATGCTTTGAGTGTTTTGACAGAATATTCTCTATAGTGTTGTCAGTCGTGTGTTTGCAGTGAAGTCAGGCTTAAGACAACATTTATAAGCAAACGCCGTGTTTGCGGTGTTTTAAAGTTGATAAGACATAAACTAAATTACATGTAATGTATACACAGGAAAACGTTTTAGTGATTTAGTGACAAACAATTATTAATCTCTACTTAAAGAGTGACTTAAATGTGTGTAAAATCAATACCAAACTCTACTAATAGTCATTCAGGCCTTATAGCTAAATAATTTGGAGTTTTATTTTTATACACCATGAATTAAAACTAACAAACTAGTATTTAAAACTAAAAAACTTTTGCAAATTTGAATAAATCTCAAACTTGTTTTGTTTTAATAGACTGTAATATATGGTTATAAACATCATTAAAATTGGTAAAATATTAAAATTTTTATTTATTTTTCTAAATCAACGTGGAGGCATTAAAATATATCGCAAATTATTTTTTGATGCAAATTTCAATTTCATTACTAGTATTAACTCATTTCTAATACTTGGCAAACATAACCCAAAAATAATTTAAACGATAATCTCGACTAAAATGTTTTCATAAAATAATACTTAAGGTTTAGTCTGTCTCTAGTTTTTTTGCTACCAATCCATTAGACATTAACTAATGTATTTAGAAGCTAACCTGGATCCGATTTCTATAGCTTACTACCAGCATTCATGTCAATTAGTAGACATTTACATTAATATACTGTCAGAATATTCTGTATTTATATGCAATATATAATAATTTATTTGAGTAGTGAATGATTGGTGTAACACAAACCCATATTTAATATTTGAATATTATACTAGTATAAACAAATATAATAATATTATATAATATAAAAGTGTAGGTTTAGTCGACTTGTTATTATACAGTATTCTCGAAGATATCTCAATTCAAAGATAAATAACTCAATTTTAATACAGAATGAGTGAATGCATAGGTTTTGGTGTTTTCTTATTTAAAGCTTAGGAATTGAATGTCTGAACACATAATAAAGTTGGAGAAGCAGTGGATATACATATATTGTATCGATAATAATAGGGAAAAATAAAACCAAAAATCTTATTTCAATAACGCATTCATTTTGATAAAAAGCCGAAACTTACAGAATATTCTGGGAATTGTGTTCATTATTTGGTCGGCAATAACGTATTGACTCATATAAATAGAAACTGGTGTTTAAGGCTGTGATACAAATGCATAGAGAAATCCATTTATCACTTTAACTCATATAATGCCCCGGCATATACTCATTGATTTTAGTATTCATTGTTTTGGACCAACTCTTCGATGAAAAGACAATAAGACAATAGACTTAAATCTCTGAGTATTATATGATTTGAATGCTTATAACAATAGGAAGACAGCGAATATATTAAGTGAACAAAATTGATAACAACATGAATACGGATATAATATTGAGGACAATGAATGAGAAATCTGTTTTATAAATATATATAACAAAACAAATTTTACATCAAATTAATGATTTGGTCATAAATTTCTAATTTATTTTTTCTCATTAGATATTTATTGTCTAATAAAAGTGAAAGTCTTATTTCGCTTATGAATGATTTTGATTTTGAAATTATTTGACTCTAATATAGCATTTTTCGGGTAATATTACAAATTGCTGACTATTACACAGAAGTCAGCACTAAAACACTCCGACAAACAGTTTTAATGCTCTTTAATACTGAAATCAATTCATTTCTATAAATTTCATACATTATTCAAAAGACAGAATATTTACGTTTTTATTAATATTAATGCTTGAAAAGTTTGCATCCATTGTCGACGAATATTATATTTATGTTATTGTAAGCCCATTCCCATCCAGTGCCCGCATATTATGCAAATCATAATACAATTGAAAAGCTTTTTCCTTTATTGAGAAAATACTTTAAATGCATTTTAAGCAATAGACGCGCGATTATTATGGATGAGAGTATAACTAATGGTTAAATATAGCAAATGAACATCTATCTCATAAAACTATTAATTATTAAATTAATATTTCTGTGTAAATGCTATTAATAGTATTTATAAATTTATAAAATTATTATACTACATAATTGTTATTCAATTTGGACAAAAGTTAGCAGAAATTGACTGCAAACACGTTAGAAAACAATTTAATATTATTATATGACATATAAATCAAATTTAATACAATGAATGAAAATAAACTGCAATTATTTGATTTATTTCATGTCAGCGACAAAAAAACATTAGATTTATTGTCAACAAAATGAATGAATGCCTAATAAAACCACAGAAAACTAATAATAGCTAAGCCATAGTATATTACATATAAATCATAAGAATATATTTATATCTATACTTAGGTTTAATTTTTCTTAAACTAACCATATATATAATTTTAATGAAATAATTATAAAGGTAGTAAAAACCCAAGGTCCACTATTATAGAATTTGTCAAAACCTTGCTTCTAAAATATCTGGTCTGTGTTTATGCCCTGATCATTTACCCTGAATTAGTAAGAAAGCTGATGACATCCAGACACGAATGTTTGGATGTGTTGTCCAGACAAGTGATTTGGGAATTGATATTTTAAATGTAATTTTAGTGTACTATTTGGCCTAATATGTACTGATGAATGCAATTATCTAATCAACAAAATTTGCTTTATTTTCACAGTTATAGTGATGTGTGCCTCGTCTGAAACGGTCCGACAAATACTGCTAACGGCCTATGATTTGGGAATGAGTGACAGCGGAGAGTATGTCTTCTTTAACGTCGAGCTATTTACCAGGTATGCCATCCCTACCATTCCCTACCAGTGCTATCGCTGTTGCATATACTCTATAGTGAGATAGGTATGCAATGAAAAACAACCTCTATATGAGATGTAAAGGTTATTTATACAAACATCAGTCGTGTCGCTAAAGTACATTAGTTTTGCACAAAATATTTTATGCAATTTTTGAGCCCATATTTCTACTTCACTAGACTTTAAGATAATTGAAATTGAAATTTAAAAATCCTGAGTTAACTCAACAATAAATAAATTCGATTTATTATTAGTTTTTATGGATTTCTGGCCCTCGCTTTGCCCACAGAATACTCGCAATACACAGAATACAGAATATTCTGTAGTTTTTTCATATTTATTATTAAAACGACTTCTTGTGGAGACATATTTCATACATACCTGAGTGTGTCGTTCAGTACTAGTTTGTCATATACGCTATGAACAGGTTTTTCGTCGAGAAAACATCAATATTTGACAAAACCTATGAACATCCGTCTAAATATGAATTCAAAGTTTGGATATAAAATAAAAATTGATTTCAAATTAAACTATTTTTTAGACGATGTATTTTAACATTTTACAAAAATATTAGTATTTATTATTCATTAATTAAATCTTGATTTGAATTCAATAGCATTATTTTCAATAATATATTAAAATTTAATCTTGTAAAGCATACTGAACAGCGGGTGAGCAAAATTATCAAGGGTAATTTAGTAAGCCTAAAGCAATTTTAAACTACATTAATATTTATGTTATGGAAAAATTTTCGGAGACAAATTAGTAATCTAAATTTTATATAAAATAAAAACTAAAAAATGATTGCTTGTGTTCATCGTTTTTATGGAGTTTTGTTTATTTTGAATTCCCTTTTATTTCTTATTATTAATAAATGATAGAAATCTTAAGAAAGTTAATATGAATTATATTTGATTTTGTCCATTCATTTTCATTATACTTATATATGTTTTGCGTTGACAGCAGTTATAGCGAGTATTTTATGGTGAGAATCAGAGCGCAAATCAAACTTCTGTATTCAATAATTGATTCATTTCTTTATGATTATCAAACATATGTTTTCAAGTGTATGTTCAAACATTTATTATTTTTAATAAATAACATTTTTTCTAAACGATTAATGAATTTGTTTACTATTGATTTTTTTAGTAATGAATTAGCTGCAATTTTGAATGATTGCAAACGTTTTCCATATATCATACATAATGGTATATCGTATTTAATGCTGTGAATCACAAGTAATTAAGCTGTATATTAGTTATCAATAAAAATAAATTTTAGAAATAATAATAATACAGAAGTTGTAGTATTTATTGGCAAAGATTATGAGTCAAAATAGCGTTTTTATGATCACTACAGTGAATGACTTTTTTGTGTCTTAAAGTGAAATTTATTTCAATTGTTTATACAATTTAAGTGTCAATTCCAATAAGAGTTGCCATCAAATGAATGTATATTTCTATCAGACTGTCTGTCCTAAAGTCAGACCTATTTTCCATAGCATTTCATTTCTTTTCATTTCATTTCATTGATTTTGAGAGCATTTCATTGGTTTTCGTTTCTATTCTCATATTTATTTTCCTCTATAAGTCTTAGATTTGTTAGAGTTTTGTTGAATAAAGAAATAAAAAATTATTCAATGATAACAATAAATGCATGAATCGATTGGCAATATATTTGTGCCAAGAATTATGAATAATATTCACAATATTTAGACATCATATTTCACTACGGCTTTTTGTTTTTGTTTCCTAAACAGTATTTTATTTCATTTTCACAATAATATATTGCTTTTCATTGCATCGGATTTAATGGCAAATAATTACTTCTCTAAACTCCGGGTCTTTAGTCCTTATAAGTCGTAATTCTGTCAAAATATTTATACTGTATTTCCTCATCAGTCTCTCTCTCTCTCTCTCTCTCTCTCTCTCTCTCCGTTATTGACAAATAGATTTTCAGTCAATACTTCCGATAATAAGAAATAAATTGAAATAAATTTCAATTTGCTGTTGGGATTAGTTTCACAAAAATCATTCACATTTAAGTAGTTTATTAATAACCATACAAAATAAACTTCTGCCCAAAAACTACTTATTTGAACCAATCTTCTGGTTATAAAGTAATTTGTAATAAAGTTTTTAAAAGTAATCTCTTCTCAAGAAATAACGTTTTTCCGATTAATTTTTCTTTTTCTATCGGAAGTAATTGTTTTTAAGAGAAAAAATGTAATTATGAACTCAATAATGGTATCGGAATATTCTTTTAAAAATTTTCCATAAAGTCTAGTATAATAAGCAGAATATTCTTTAATCTAAAATTATGCCAGGATTTGGGATTCAAATGAAACAATTTTTGTTACTGCTCATTTTTATATTTATATATAATTTTTCGTACAAATTGTGATTAAAAAGAATGTAATTTATATGTGGCAATAAATTTGAACAGTATTAATAGTATTGAAAAATAATCATCAAATTTCTTAAATGTGCGCTACTTTTCCTGAATTTAATTTCTTCTAATTTTTCACTTTTTTCTTTCTTTATTCCCCACAAAAGGCATTAATTTTAAACTTTTTTCTTAAATAATTCAATGGATGTAGTATTTAATTCTCATGTGTTTAACATATCGGGTGTTTTATTGCTATTTTTCTCCGCGGACCTTAAAATTAGAAAATGTTGTTTTCAATGTTTGAATTTATAATACAACTGTAGAAAACACTGTAATTTAAAATTGAAAAGAAAGAAAGAAAGAAAGAAAGAGAGAGAGAGAGAGAGAGAGAGAACAAAAGACAAACACGAATTGTATAGAACTGGAAGCGATAGTAAAGATTATGCAATAATTGTAACATTGAATTCTGGAATATTCTAAAGGCTATAGGAATAGCTAAAGGGTTAGTGCCACAGAATCATGATATTTTGGTTTATAATAGAGCCTATATATTTTATATTTTATCGGGATATTTTATCATACATAAAAAATTTAATACAATACAAACATTGTCCTTTTAATGTAATATTGTTTAATAAATTGAATAAATATGTTGATTAATTTGAGAAATGTATAATTATAATATTTTTGATAAATTAGACAAAACAATATTGAATACAATTTTTATCTTTAATTTAATGACCATTTTTAATGAGGATATCCGACTCAATAAAATATCTTATTATGTTTCCTTTTATTTTTAATTAAAATATGATTACAAACTTAATGAAAATCCAAACCATTTATTATAAGTTTTATATTAGATTACAGAGGAAATGAAGATTCACTCGCAGTGTCTGTTTGTTGAGAAGTAATGATTTTTTAGCAAAAATATAGATTTTATATTGCACTCCATTTTGATAACTTTATCCAGAAGTTTAAATAATGAAATATTTATAGCAATGCAATCCTGACGGTTACTATATTACACTTTTCTTATTTTGTTTTATAAACTAAATAACTTGCATAACGTTATTTTAATACTGTATTTGGATATACTGTAAATATAAATACAAAATTATATATATTTTATTATTTATTTATTTGCGGATCACTCGGAGGATATCATATAATAAACTCAGGCTTAGTTCATAGGCAATAAAACAGTGATTTCTTATAATATCAATGCAATTGCTATAAGTCGAGAGCATCTCAATGTTTGTGATATACTGTATATTATTTAACTCAATATATCAGTGGATATCTTATACCAAGAATTACAAAACTCTATTATAAATTACACGATTCAATGATAAGTCGCCAAGACCAAACACTTTCCATCCGGCTCTGGATGTGTGTTTCAATGGATAGGATGGATAAGCCTTCATATCGTTGACCATCTATTTGTTGCAGCTGTTGTTCAGCACAGACTACCAGCGCTCTCACAACCCATTTCTTATAGCAAATTCAATAACTTATATATAGCTCTCCAAACATATCATTGGAAATAAAAATGAAAATCTTTTACAACAAATCTATTTCCCTTAAACTGTTTGTGAAAACAGATTTAAATAAGTATTGAATTTCTTAAAACTTTTTATTAACGTAATATCACACAAACAAATATTCTCTCTCTCTCTCTCTCTCTCTCTCTCTCTCTCTCTCATTCGGAGAAATTCTGTTACTGTAGTATAAAAAACTTTGATTTAGTCTCTAAAAAAGGTTAAAACAAAATCAGAAAAGTTTAGATCAAAAAGTAGAGTAAAGTATTAAAAGCGAGTAAAGCCTTAGGAAGAAAAACATGTGTTGAATGACTTACGACTGAATGACTGGAAAGTCATTACAATAGCGGAGGAAAGTATGGATGAGTGCAGGAAAGGATACATAAGAGATATGTCGTACATGTAGTGAATGAATGATAGATGGGATGGCAATGCATGGAAATAAGTGCCGAAATTGTATACATAAATAATTGTCTCGTTTCTATCATTACTAGAATTACGCACCGATTCATAAAATAGTTTGGCATTTGTTTTACTCTAATTCACCCTTAAATAAGTGTTACTATTATTTAATTAAATATTTAGCAGACATTGAATTGGAAACTATGTTTAGTATCGGATCTCTTAGAGCCATTCAATTATAGCAATTAATTAGCTGACGAGCACTGATTGAAACGCATCTACTGATAGTAATTTGATAGCCAAATGTCTGACACCCTTTCCTATCCACTCTTTTAATGTAAAATTTGTTTTGTTTAAGTCGTGTGTAGTCTGCGAGACATTGGATTCATATTTAATGCTAGAATTGGTTGTCGGCGTCAAGTGTTAACAACACGTCAATTGTTATGACATTCTGTGTGCAGAATTCAGACTATACTGTAGTATAGTATAGTATATAAGACAATAAATTATAGAATTTCTTCAAACACTGTCTTTGAAATGTTGTCTCAAATGTAGAGCCGATTGTGAGACCAAAATGTAAGAAAATAATTCAGACATACATCCAATAAATTATAGCTTACGTTCAGACAATACGATTGAGACATCGAGACATTAATACATAAAATTCAATTAAAAGTCCATCTGTAAGATAAATGTTTTACACTAAAACTCTATTATATTGAGCTACTATTTGTATCACCAGGATATATCACTACAGTAGTCCTGTAAATAATGTCTAAATATAAGAGTTTTTAATCTAAAATTGTATGAAATTTTCATTGAAATGCTTTATTTATTTACAATTCGTTGAATTCAATGTAAATAAAAAGTAATCTTAATATTTTAATATTTATTGAAATTTTTAATAATAGAGTAGAGTATATGAATTTAGAAATTATTAAAATATTTATTATTGTATTATTATTATTACATGAAACAAAAATATTTTCTCTATTTTAAGCCAAAAAATTAAATATTAATAAATATTTTATAAAAATTTAGATTTTATTTAAATATTCATTTTGTTTTATAAAAAGGGGTTTAAATTTAACTGAATGATGAAAATTAATGTTTATTTTCTTTAACCAAAAGTGTTTAACAAAAAATATTGAAATAATAAATTTTTAATAACAATTTAATTCGCATAAATGCATTTGTTTATATGAAAATATTTTAATCATTTAAAACCACTATCAATTATTTTACCAAATATTTTACAATATATAAGAATATAAACATAAAATATAAGAATTATAAAGAATTTTAATAGAAAATATTTTGAAAACCATTAATAAATTCAGAATTATAAAAACTTAAAAATTTCATATTCAAAAGTCAATTTTAAAAATCAGATCTAAATGTCTAAATGCATTGCATTAAAGTTAAACCTTAAAATGTTATGGAAAATAATAATAATAATAATAATTCTTTGACGTAAATCTAAGTCTTTTATAAATTTTGTATAGTATATGAATACTTATGACTTAATTATTTAAAGAATATTCTATTTAAACACAAACTGGAAATGGGATTTGAAATTATAATGAATTTTAGTGCTATTTTTGTATTTAATAAAATTTAATTCTTTGAAACCAGGAATTTGCTCAATAACTGAGTTTCTATTAAAATAAAAAATATTAAAATGCTTTATAAAACGATTAAATTTTACAATATTTTTATATTATTAATGATTTACAAGTGATTAATGTATTTGTCAGCCAAAATGGGTCGCGTAGGCCGTGGTATCACTCGTCGGACAGTGATGTGAATAACATGAGGGCTAAACTCGCCTATCAGTCGCTGTTTAAACTGACGGCTAGAGTCCCAGAATCTCACGAATACACGGAATTCTCCAAAGATATCAAAACTATCGCCAAAAATGAGTTCGACTTCAGCTATGGGCGCGAAGAAGTAAGTCTTGGGTTTTATTTTTATTTTAATTTTGTTACACTTTTGTTTTGATTATTTTCATTACACTAAAAGATACTTCAATTATATTAATGCTTAACTTATCATTTGCACTTAATTTAATAACTTTATTACAAGACAATTGTTTTACTCTATTATATTCTCGAATCATTAGTATTCAAGTTATTTCCGACAATAAAATTACAAAAGGATTTTTATGTAAATTTTGAGTACATTTTCATTCATACGTTATTATATTAGTTACAAGTAGTGTTATTGGCAGTGAAATTTAAATTGAGGTTAAAATAAATCTATTATACTGTATGTAAAAAGTTTTATACTTAATTTTTACTCACTCTGTATAATTTGTATATAACAGTATAAATTGTATACTATAAAATCTTTACGATTTAATTTTGTTTTAATGAAGTCGTTGACTATAAACTCGTTTTTTTAATTAAGAAAAGTTTTCCAAATCTTTAAACTACAGAAATGTTGAGTTAATAAAAGCAATGATATATAAACTAACGGTTCAATAAATAATTTGTTAATCGAAACTTGAAATGTATTCTCACTTTATTTGCTCATAAATAGTGTAATTGTTTCACAAAATATTTGATACTCTTTAGCATGAATACCGTAACACATTTTACTGCTCATACACTATATTTATAACTATATATATCCAAAATATATAACTATTTCGATGTATGAGTGAATTAATTTATTTTTCCTAAACATTATAAATAGTATTTTCGAGAAAATGTGCGCAAATTTTATTTCAAAATTAAAATTTACGCTCAACTGAACTCATTCTTTACATTCATTTTTCATCATTTGCTCTATCATTTGAATTGATCTGAAATAAATGCACTTATAGTCGAGCATACAATGTAAATGTATTCAATATCGGGTTTATGGTATTTCTCATATTTTGAGGAATTGCTGAAAAATTATATTCAACTTTCAATACAGGAATTTTGAGATAAACACGAATCTCGGAGCAAAAAATTAACGCAAAAACAAGAAAAATGAGAGTTGGCCTCAAAATATCAAAACCCTATTATGATATGAAGTTATATCTGTTTTTTGGACAGAGAGAGAGAGAGAGAGAGAGAGAGAGAGAGATCCAGAAACCATTAACACAATTGATACAAAACTACTATTTTTGTATTTGATTTATGACTGCTTTTGTCACCATTTGTTATACAATTGTAATAAAGTTCTCGTAAAGTATATTGATGTTTGAAAAATCTTTGGCAAATTTGTGCCATAAAAATAAATTGAAATATTATTTACAAAAAAACATATTTATATTTTAATTATACAAAAATTATTTATACATTAATGTATTTATTTATTGTCGTTTAATTGAATGGAAAAGATATCGACATTTGTGACGGCTTTCCACGAATCGATATTCCTGTACGCCTTAGCCCTCAACGAGACAATAGCTGAAGGATTTTCATCAGCAAATGGAAGTGTAATAACACGTAAAATGTGGAACAGAACCTATTCAGGTGATCATCACTGATATCTTTACCCAAATCTAACAAACAAAACAACAAAAACACTTCATATTTATATAACACAACCGAAAATGAAAACATCATAAACCAAACACCCAAACACATACCGTCCCCAATATTTCCCATGAATTAGACTATTTGTTGCTTAAATGTATTGATTATTAAATATTTGCGCAAAAAAAGAAACATTAAATACAATAAGCGATAAGAATGTAATAATACTAACATATTATGAATTGTATAGTAATACACATATGAATAGAGAATCTGATTGACTGAATGGAGTTAATGGTTGTTATCGCACAGGTATTACCGGTAATGTGAGCATCGATGGGAACGGTGACAGAAATGTGGACTATTCCCTGCTTAATATGGAGCCAAATAGTGGCAACTATGAGGTGGTGTCCAACTATTTCGGAGTGAGCCAGCAGTTTGTGGACGTGCCCAACAAACGCATCTATTGGGCGGGAGGGCTGACGGGTCCGCCGCCCGACACTCCCGTCTGCGGCTTCGAGGACGAGAAGTGCGCCGACGACGTGGCCTCGCAGTACGCCATCGTCTCCGGCATACTGTCCGGTCTATTGCTGGTGCTGTTCGTGGTCTTCATCATTGTGTACCGACACTACAAACTGGAGGCCGAGTTGGCGTCCATGACCTGGAAGATTAGGTTTGACGACATCATCACATACTCCGGCATTAATAACAGACAGGGATTTGGATCGCGAATGAGTTTGACTCGAGTTTGTGTTCATTTTATATGCTTTTTAGTCTTTATTTCCCATTATATTCCCAATCATTAATATTTTAGTTTTATTTTAGTTTTATTTTAGTTTTATTTCCTTTTAATTCCTTGTGTTTAAGACTAATGACAAAAATTTCAAAAATTAAAAGTCATAATAATTATAAAACTCATTAATTTAAAGGCATTAGAATTTTATTATACATTATTATACTATAATTACATTCTTTGGAAATTCCTTTTATTTAAATATTACATAAAGTGATGATTAGTTAGAAATGACTTTCAATTTTGTTTCTATGGCTAAAATATACAATAAGTGTAGCAAATATAAAAACAAATTTATTCGTGTTATTATTGAAATAAATCAAGAATTAAAGGATAATTAGTTTTTGATAATTAAATTTAATTCAAAGTCATATTGATCATATGCTTTTCGAGTTGAATGTTTTTCATTATAATTATACCGCGAGTCCTATAATATGTTTAACAGTTTAATGTCAGATGAAAATATTTGATTAAAATTTTCACTTTTTCTCGGTAGTCAAGAGTTTACAAGTGATACCAGTAGTTGATTGATTAAAAAATTTCATATTTGGCTTAAGTGCTCATTGAATCTACTGTTTTTCGCTATAACACAGTATAAGCCTAACAGTTTTAAAAGGTTTAGTATACTCCGAGACAAAAATCAATTTTTCAAAAGTTTATTTGCTTTTTGTTTAATGTGACACAAGTATCATATAATCTCAT